TTGATAGCTTAATACTGAAATGTTTATATGGCTCCGAATAAACTGATATTGGTGAATTAAAATTCGAGAAACCAATTAATAGACTATCCCAATGTTGAAAAATGTGTCAAACATTGTATCATGAACCAGTGCATGAAAGTATCCGAGAAATCTGAAATTTGTGAACAAGCTTGCAAAAAGTCTTTCTAAATGAGGATCTGCTCTTGTACTAGATGACTTTAACAAAATGCACAGTAGCCGCCCTAGAACCAGATGTTTACTGATTCACTAGACCTTATTTGGAATGCGTGTCTGATGTTAGTATGTACATAGGTTGTAACTAAACCTCATAATAGATCGAGTTTATAAATTCAGGGCCATGTAATGCTGACAAATTCTGGGATATGGACCATGTAAATTATCCTTTTGGGTGAATATTTTAGGTGTCATTATACACATTAAATTCTTTCTATGGCGGTTTTTAAATTCGCGTAATGAGCCTCATAGACTCATTTGGCGATCTCATCAAAAGGATTAAATCAGTACTAAACACTGAGTGTCTGGTAAAGCACATCGTCCGATATGTCTTCCGAGTCAATAGTTTCAGATCATGCTCATGCATCTATCTTCGATTCGAGACTCATCGGTACCATAGTAAGATCCGGGAATCACCATTACATGCTGTACACTATCCTTAATTTGTTGCCAAAATACAACAAATGGAGCAAACTCTACATCTCAAGTAGTTTGCTCATTGCCTCAGCTTATGGGAAGGTAGAAATGAAAGATCACTCTTAGAGGATTCTCAACCGTCATATCGTCAATATACACCTCCATGGTCTTGGTACACTAATTAGCTCCAGACTAATTTCTACACAACTCAATTGAGTACAAAGAAGGAGAAGTCTGCTTCACCACCAAATGATAAGGGATAACTGGCTTGTAGCAGCCAAGCGTTCATAGCGACGTTGCTTTCTCGAAAAAGTGATCCAAGGAAGGTTTATTCATTTCGACAGAAAATGCTGGTATTATAATACGGACTACATGAGTACTATATTCTAGTAGATATAGTACTTAACGGATAATTCAGCTTTTTCATAGGGGTTAGCCCACATATTTCATAAACAATTTTTGAGGTTTTTGACAAATAAAGAAAAACCTCTTATTACGTCTGCTGGGTTTGGTTCTTAGAGCATGGAACATCTCTTGAGGGCATCACAGACCTGTTATTGCCTCAAACTTCCTTGGAAGATCAAATCAAAGATTGCAAACGTAATGATGCGACGAGTATGCTTATATATACTGATAGGATTGGTGGTCAAGTTGATTCAAATATGACCTAATAAACTATGGAATGTTGAATTGTTGATATTCATTATCCAAATGAACCCTAATGCTTACTCTAGAGTGCACTTCCAGTGAATCCTGATATAAAAGCCCTCCTCGCATAGCACTCTGCTATAAACTCACTCTACCACCAACATGAAGACAAATCACACTCAAGCTATTAAATGATGAAACACACACGAAGTTAAGCAGAACAAGTTTGTGATCTTCACAAATTCGGTTTTTGAAAATTAAACCGAAACTTTTAATTCAGGTTAGATTTTGGTTTAATTTTGTTAAAATTTCG